CCCGCGGGGGCGCGCGCGTCATTAACCATCTAGATCCATTCATACCCCCCTCATCGTTTATCCGTCGGGCGGCGTTGCACATGTCGTCTGCAGTCGCTACGCAAAAAAACCGCGGTCACTATAATATTATACGGACGAGGGAGAAACCAAAATGCCATGGGTATTATATACAATATATACGTGTAAGTACTACAGGGAGAGAATTACGCTAACCCTTTGCGCCCTTGTAGTATAATGAAATAAAAACACATACTTACATACATTTTTATGTATACGAATTGATAATCCTTGGAACCGGAAGAGTTCCGTAATATCGAAAAAGTTGAATAATTTTGGAATTTGTTATGAGATAAAAAGTTGTCCGTGTTTCGTTATACGTTGTGCAGAATATTACAAATATTTTTTTATTTCTCTTTGTAAAAAAATATATAAAACAATGAATTAACGTGGTAATATCATTGGTATTTTTTTAAGATGATTTTTATGTCTTTTTTGGTAAATTTCCGATATTGCCTGATCCAGTACTACTTTCTTCAGCCCATATGCATTTTTTGCGCACATAATATATACATATATATATATATGCTATTATCTATTAAATTTGGCGACCGATTACAACACATTAGCGAGTGAGGTAAGATCAAATCACGCGACACACCAGAATATAAAGTACCTACACCATGAACGAGATTACGCTGTCCAAAACGGATCTTCAATGACGCATAAATTAGTCTTAGATAGAAACTTTATTTGGTCTAGCCATCGTGAAAAACCGTGAATATTGTATAATAATAAGCCGGAAGTTCGTAAAAAATTTAAAATGATTTCAGAGTGCCACACGATGTTGTATCGAACATTTCTCACCGTATTATATATATGTATTATGTATACACATACACGACTAAAGGATAACTGTGACAAGAAATGCTGCAGTATAATGGATAAGCAGATAATATAACACGTATATGAAATACATGTACAGATATTTAACAGTATAACGACTAGAAATTTAAGACGAATCGGCGCGGCACATGTTTCAATCGACGGTGGCCGTTATCTATAGACGACGAAAAGCCGACGAGAACTTGTCGTCGTCGTCGTCGTTGTGGTATTCACTAATTAATCGGAAAATACTGCGATGGTTTTTTTTACCACCACCACTACTACAGATACTAGTAGAATTCCAACTGTCCCCCACGACCGCACCACCGCACACCACCGAACGGCGGATCAGGTATGCGTAGCGGCGGTGTCGTCTCGTCTCGTGCTGATGCTGCTGCTGCTGCCGGCCGCATGGCGCACGCGCGCGCGAGAAAAAACCCAATTAACAGCGACAGCAGTGGCATGCGTGGACGGCGACGACAAAAATATTTGTATCCATCATCATCATCGTTACCGCCACCGGTAAAAACAACAACGAGACAATGTCGCGTTCCAGGTCATTAAAAACCTAACGTTTAATTTAGACTGCGATCGAAATTATCTAACCTGCCGACATCGCACAAACAACAACGATAATATTGGATTATTTAATTAATATTATACACATACACACATACTCGTTTTGAAGTCGACGGCCGTTGTCCTCGCAGGTGTCCCGCTCACGCCACACGGCTTTCCCTTCCCCACCGTGGACACCGGACACACTCGACAGACCTGTACACGACGTTTTAGTGGAATCGTGTGTTTTCGTTTTTAATTAAGGGTGAGTTTTAATCGACCGCTGCCGTACGAGAGGCGACCACGGTGGTATTACCCCCTTCCCGGCCGTACCACCAACACCGCCGCTGCATATATAAATTAAAAAGAAAAAAAACCGACTGGGCTGCATCGGCGAGTTTGTGGGTAAGAGAGTGAGGGTGAGAGATAGAGCGAGTGACGGGAACTGGGTGAGAGAACGAGAGATACCGCGAGCGGAAGAGAGGTTGGCGGCGGCAACCGGTCTGCCAGCTCGTTTCGCCGCCGCCGACGACGACGACCAACGTGCGCGGCATGAGACCCGAGCCAATTAACGAAAAATATAATCGGAAGAAATACCTCGGCGGCGACCAAGACGACGAGTATTAATAATAAAAAAAAAATAATAATAATAATAATAATAATAAATAAATAAAAAAAACGAGACGAGAAATACCGAAATCGAATCGAATCGTACGATAAATCGTCGTCGTCGTCGGCATTGTAGTGGCGGCGACAGGTGTGTACAGGCGGTCATTGAAAAAAATAAAAACCAAAATAAATAAACATTTTTTTTTTAGAAATCCGATTGGTATTAGTGTATTATGTCCTAGTGCAAGCGCACACATACACAGGCACGTTATTTGTAAATTTAAATAGTCGGTACTATATGTATTATTATGTATACCTACGTATATACGTACATTTTATATATATTATAAAAATTCCAATAGTATTATGAAGAGGTATTTGAATATTCAAATCACGTGTGCGGTGGAAGAATCGGTTTTGCAGCGGGACGTAACGACGGAAATACACATATTTATAACCTGTACGTCGCAATATCGTTGACACGGTAATATTGTTGTAACGATATTATATCATATATCGACGAAGCTCAATTATAATGTAAGCAAAAAGTATAGTTCTTTCGATATTTATATGTGCGCTCACACGCGTATTTATGTCAAATCGGCCGCCGTGATGTGGATTAAAACAATTCGCCGCAGTCGGTCGACCACGAAATATCTATATCGTATACACATTTTGAACGACTTATAAGCGGTACACACGACGGGCTATTATTGTTATTACAATTACTTTTATGATTGTCGTTGTCGTTATCGCGTCATCGTTGCTATATCGATCGATATGTATATTAAATACACACGACATGATCGTTGGTCAACGAGCTGGACCGATCGTGGGGAGCGGATTACGCGAAGATCTCTGTATACGTATTTACAACGTACATATTATACGCGAACGGTATTTTATATTATCGTACTTGTACGATGGTCGTCGTGACTCTGATCTTTTCTCTTACACTGATAATCACTGGCGGATAATATATTATTATGTCCGTGCTGGCGGGACGCGTTTCAAACGCACGAAAACCATATAACCCCCTGGTACGGTCACACGGCACGAGCCGGATCGCAAGGTGCATTGACGGTGGGCATCACGGCCGGAAGAGAAAATTTCAAGAAGAAAAAAGGTGTACACGCAACGGCGTACGGCAACGACGACGACACGACGGTGAAAGATCTATACGCAATTAACAGCGTCACCAGCGGCGAAGAGAAAAAAAAAAGTCTGCGGAGACCGCGAAAGACTCGTCGATTGCACCTCGCACATGCGATGACTACGACAACGACGGTCGTGCTCGATTTTTTTTTTTTTTTAATTAAAAACGCAGAAATACGGTTGCGATCGCCGTGGTGGTATGGAAAAATCCACGACCGAGTGCAACGGTTTCGTGCATTCGCGTCGGTGGCAGTCGAGAGTGGTCACGTGTATTCATCGTGGTCGTCGCGGTGCGCACGCGATTGACCGAGTTAAGTACGGTAAGGACGACGACGGCGGCGGCGGCCAAAAGGACGAAGACATCATCGACGACGAATAATTGTAAAACGGCCTGCAGTGGACGCGGACCAAAACGTATCCCGTACCGTGCGGTGCGTACGGGGAACAAGCGCACGCGACGGACGGCGAGGGGGTTAAGACGAGAAAACGGTACGCCGGTCGTTCGTCGTGACGAGATGAACGACGACGACGGGGGCATCGTATATAAGTACGTACGCGTGTGTGTGCGCGCGCGCGCGTATAATATACGTATACACATGCGTTTATATACGAACGTACGTGCGTGTATGTTTAAATACGTTCCGGGAATTAAACGAGTTTTGTAGACGGCCGTACGCAGCCGATCTCGGCTGTTTTTTTCTTGTGCGTGCACGTGTGTACGTGTGCGTGCGCGCGTCCGTTCGTGCGCGCGCGTGTGCTTGGTGCTTCGGCGGCGATGCGTGCATACGTTACGCCGCTGGCCGACCCGTCCGCCGACGGGCAACGCGCAGCACCGGTGGCGTGGTCATTAGACGCGCGCGCGAGCACAATTTAATAGGAAACGTCTCGCGTGGCATGTGTACGGATGGTATTCCGATGCATTGCGCGCGTGATATGTGCACGTCGCACCGACACGGTATTGCGGAAAAACGTTGCGCACGCCCCGCGGGGCAGTAGTGCGCAGGGACGTCAGTCGTCCGCGCGAGAAAGGCGAAAAACCCGAGTTAGCGTACGCGACAGTAAATCACCCCTTTCCTCGACCGGCGTGTCAAGACTCGACATTTATCCTAGATCCCGCATATGCGTGTGTCCGCGATGCTGGCTAGTCTCCAAGATGGAAAATTGATAATCAGCAATTAAATACGCGTTTTAATTACGTGTGCAATTGATCTGCATTATAACGTGTATTTGCTATACGGACTGTGCTATAAGAACTCTTAAGTATAAACTTAATCAAACCTGTATTATTTTTACTATCAGACTAATTAAATTGTTGCCTGAAGCCAGAAATGTATTTCAGTTGTACAAAAGTCTTCTTATTTCAACAGTGTTTTATCGAATAGTAAATTTCATGGAATAACTTATATTATTATATTTAATTACTATATTAATATTATTATAATATTAATAACTTAATAAGATCAGATACTAGAGATATTTTTAATTTGTTTTGCATCTTTAGTCATACGATGAAAAATCTAAAGAAAAATGCTTGAAAATAATTCTAAATTATGTCTAACGAACGGTTATGTTAAAATTTGTAATTGTTAACATACGAACGTTTAAATAATTTAAAATTCAGAGTTAATCACGTTACCATATCTAATGGTAAGATTAGTAAATATTTGGCGGGCAAACATAAAACGTATATAATTAGAAAGCTAGCAGCTTATATCTATTTTCACCCGTGGCACCACCGCTACAAACACTGTAATAAATATTATACTTTATAAGAAAGTTGGTGCATGTGTACTTACGGTCCAGCTGAACGAAAACGGCAATGCGAGATTGCCGCCGGCCGCTCCTCGGTTGTTGCTGCCGTCCGAAGGAGAGTCGACCGAGGCCACGGTGTCGCCTCCCAGTGTGAACGAATTGCCACCCAGCACTGGGCTGGTAACGTTTCCGAACGAGCAGTGGTGTAGTTGCGAATTGGGTTGATGGTGATTCAAGCCCATGGCCGACTGCTCGTCGTCTACTCTTCCACCGCTGGCCACCAAAGCCGACGCGGCCATCAAGGATACCGGTTGCTGCTGCTGCTGCTGTCGACTTTGGTATTCGCGTAAGCACACTTGGAACAACGTGTTGCATTGCGGAGCATTCGTGCACTGTAGTGACGGCATGTTGGATCTGCCCGCTGAGGCCGCCGAGGACGGCGGTTGCTGAACAGGCTGTACCAAGGAAGAACCACCCGAACCACAACACTCGCCCGTGGCCAATTGGCCGCGGTAGTTTTCAATCTCCAGTATCTGCAGCTCGAAGAATCCCAGGGCTCGAACGTCCTGTGTGCATTCAAACCGGAAAAACCGTACATTTTAATATTTGCTGCTACGTACGTAAAATCATTATTATATTATTGCTGAACGTATACTCGTATATGGACACGGGTTGTGCGCGGAGAAAAATATTTATTTTTGTTGGAAAGATATATGAAATACATATCTTTCGGCGACGAACTAACATCTTCGAATAAATTACGAGTATGTATCACATACAGGTAGTTATAACATTATTGAACAAGTACGTGCATACATGCGCTTACGTCATTCATATAGTATTCGGTGATTTATCATGGATACGATGGGAGATACTGGGTATTGAATAACTCGAAATAAAAAATGTGTTATAACATATGGTTTTAAATAAATAACCAGTGAGTAAAGTAAAAAATGCCAATTTTTACATTAGAAATCAATATACTAACTAAAAACCTGGCGTTAGTTTCTATTATCGAACAAATGGCATGGTATACAGATGTGATAGATTTCATTAAACGAAATCACATTCGAGAAGATTTATTTAGAAAAAATTATGGTAGTTCACAGTAAAATCGAGACTATTTTTCTAACTATTTTTCTTCAAGTAATTTCGATTCGCTTAAATGGTATCCACACGATAATTTTTTTTCCTATTTGTCAATAGATGATACTATCTTTACGTGAACTTAGCAACTATACAAATAAATATTACGGCCGTTATATTATAGTGTTTTCGCTGTCGCGATGGTGACCTAAGCGGTCGACCGTCATGTGCCCAAAGTGGGCATTGTTTTAATAAGTAATTACGTTTTCACAATGTCATATGATCGTCGAATAAAACTGAATTACGCTATAATAATAAATACAATAATCAATAGGTTACGCGCCTTAACGGCTTAACGCCGGCATTATCGCCGGTATTGTATTCGGCTTACTGCTTCACCTTGATCCGCGCAATGTGCAAACTACGAGTCGGCCATCGATTACATTACGCATGCATCACATCCACAGGGTCTTACAAATAAAATGTATGAAAACAACGACGGTAATATATTATAATATTAAATAGATGATAAGAACACGAATCGGGTGTGATACATTGTACCAGGGAAAAAGTATAGAAATTCGGAATTAAAAAGCCCCACGCGCGTGACTTAGTACACGAGTTATGCCTAACAAATCATTGCACTGTGATATGATTTCACATACGCTGCATGTGCATTGTTGCATACATCACACACATATACTTTTAAATCTGTATTCGCAGTTCCAACTGTTGTACAAGTGACGTGGTATTGCTGTTTAGGGAACGTGTATATAATTGTATCACGTATCGCCGCCGCGGGCATCAATTCATCGGCCGACCGTGATGATTAGAGTACGGATTTTAAAGCAATAAAAGACTAAAAAGAAAAGCACTCAAAAGAAAAAAAGAGCATATTTTTGTGTTTATTGTCGTTTCAAGATAAATTTATCTACTATACTCACCATACGCTACGTGACAAACTGAACACACGAGGAAAGGTTGTCAAGAAATAATTGAACAAGATTTGGAATTCATTATATAATATAAAAATAGTTATTAAAATTTTAATCACATTTATTTAGAACACAATTTGAAAAAAATATAACTTAAAAGGAAAAAAAAATACCCAAAATACCCAAAAAACGCAAAAGAGCAAACCAAAAACCAAAAAAAAAAAATGTTGTGCATTTTATTTTAAGTAATAAATAAAAAAGTATGAATCAAATTTTTTAGCTGATATAACTTCGTTTTAAAGGAATAAAAAAAAAATTAAATTCCTTCAAAATCCGTACTCTAGTGATGATAAATCGAATAATCGACGTTTCGCCACCGCGTACACATTTACGTAGGTGCGAGCCGACGATAGGACGACAGCGGTGATTAATAATATAATGTCGTACCACGACAGCGTACATATATTTTCTCACGATGTTATATTGTTTCAAGAATACTGTCCGAGTGCGTCCCGTTCTTTTATCCTTTACAGCGAAACCCTAATACGTCCACCGATATCAGCGAATGTGTCATGTATATTGTGCGTATTTCTAATAGAAAAATACACGGGAAAGATCCATAGGAAATTTTCTTATTTTTGCGTGGGCAGTAAAAATACGTACCTAATGGCAGAAAGCGACGAGAAAACTATCAAAGGCATTAGAAAGTTTTCATATTTAACTCAACATTGTATTTATATCGCCTGCAGGTACTTAAACATTTGTAGAAGTGTAATTGTAAAAATATTATTTTATAAAGCTACTCTCAATGTCTTAAATAACAAACCAAACTTTACAGACATTTCGAAAACAAAAACAATATGCTATTTTCGAAAAAAAAATAATATTAATTAAAATTAATTATATATTTAAGGACAAGAAATATAATTTTAATCATATTTTCTTAACTCAGCCCATCGAAAAAGAATAATGCTTTACTCGCGTAACCAAACATTATATGGCTTCATCTTAATGCGGTTATGAACTGATGGAGCGTAATTAAAAACATATAAAAATATAAAAACTAATTTTTGTGATACAAGCCAACTCTCCACCTCGTGGTATATGCGTTAGAAATAACTATAAACGGAACGTAATCAAGCATCCCATTTTTTTTTTGTTCTTAAAAAATTACCGCTTTAATGAAACCCTATTTTGAAGTATACTTGGGAGTTTCACGCGGTTGCGTATACCGAAACGGTGGTCCGAGGCGCAGGAGTACCTTTTTTCTGGTAGGTGGTAGTTAAGTCGTTAATTAAAATAGAAACAATCTAATTTTTTTTTTTTTTTTTTATTATTATTAGTTCGATCACGCGGGTTGAAAAAATATATAAAAAGGGTTGTTATTTACAGCCAGACAAAATGAAAAATAACAAAACCCCCGGGTTGCCGGGATTTCACACGCTGACGTGATCGTAGCGGTTCGGGTGGTGGGATGGTAGCAAATTATCAGCACACACCGGGTTTTACTCGCGGCTCGCTACACAATATAGACCACTTCCGTGAAAGACCCGAACAGGTAAAAAAATATTCGCCGACTTCAACGGACAAGTCTCTTACTGCGCTGTTCATATATTTTCCGTAAAAATTCACTACAGATATTCCACTGCACCGTTTATGTACCTTATATATTCCATCGTACACACACACACCGCATTTACATTACTAATCATCGTATACGCACGCGTTTCGTGCAACATTTCCTTATAACGATAAGCGCACGCGGACAACACAATTCACTGAACGCGCGCGGTCTATTGTCGGACACGTTATTTTGGGACTATGGTGAGTCGATGAAACGGGGGGAGGCTCGAAAATGATTGTTATATGACGACGCGACAAACGAGCGCGCGCGCGTTCATTCACACACACACACACACACACACACACACACACACACGCAAACGCTAGCGCGCGATAATAATGGAAATTAAAATGATAAATGATCGAGTGATTTGTCTCATCGTTGTCGATCGCCAACGCACGTTTAACGGACTGGCGTCGTCGTCATCATCATCATCATCATCATCATAATCATCATCAACATATACTTATATGTATATAAACATATATGAGCAGTGTGTGACGGGCCAGCGATTTATTATACGCTCGTGATGACGATGAACGGAGGACAATTGAGGTAAAAAAATAAAATAAAATTGGTCGTCCCGCGCGCACCAATCTCTCCGTCTACTGTTTACGTGCTCGTAGTATTTATTACGATACATATTTATACGAACACGCGTGTTCTGCGCAAATCGCACACGATATATTAGAATTTGCGCGCGGCGTGACAACAACAGTGGAGTTTCAAGAGTGAAAAAAATCGACAGAAATATCCGTTTTTCGTATTATTAAAAGATATACGGCTGCGTGCACGTTCATGAACATTTTCCACCGCCGATAATCGCGTGAACTTCTTGCACTCCATCGTCGATCAAAAAACAACTATCCGCGTTTACGCGCACGCAACACGCTATAGCCGCTGCCACCGTTTTAATAGCGAACTATAATATTATTGTTATTTTGGACTGAAAACGTTTAAATAATAATCTGAAACGCAAAATTCACAGAGTAGGTGGAAAAAAATCAAAACTACAAATAAAATAACTAAAAAATACACTTATGTTCGATAATATTTAGATAAACTAACAATAAAGTTCCTGGAAATAATAAATCCTTGATAGACGTATTTTCGAAAGATAGAAATCGCTAGCAAAATATCTTCAAGCGACCCATACGCGAAAATATATCGGTTTGTCAACTTGACAAATTTAAGATTGGCAGACATACATCGATAGAGTTAAAAGCTAGTCTTTTCTGAATATCTTTAGTCCTAGAACATTTTTTTTTGGCAATGATGAGCTCATTCGTATTCGCATCGACTGTATATCTTTATGTATTATTGTTTTGAATTTATTACAGTTACTCGTATTCATTCAACTGAAGATAATTAGTAAATCTTATTTCTTTCTATCTATATCCGTGGCTTTAATTTAACATTACGGCAACATTATTATTATTATTGGTGCAAGAGACGCGTTTTCTCGATGTAAGAAAAATGCACATCGTCGAGCGTATCGTGTGCACGTGTGTGTATACGTGTCTATATGTATTCGTGTGTGTATGCTCACGAAGACATGGCCTACACGACGATGACGACGACGACGACGACGACGACGGCGACGGCGACGGGTTGCGTGCCGGCCGGCCAGCAGCGATTGCCACGCGGTCCGGGCGTGCGTGCCACCACGTTCGCCGCCGCCCACGTAACGTGTGCCGGTGCGACGAAGTGCACGCGCGTTCGTATCTATAAGTATTCACTGCAAGCTCTTGGCAATCCATCTCTAAACCGCAGCTGCTGCTTCGTACACTACCACCACCGCCTCCTCGTCTTCCTTGTCCAACTATATTCTAATCTTTCTTACACACATTGTTCGTCACGACTGCACGGCGAACTTGCGCGCGCGCGTTACATTACACAGAAATACGAATTATAATTACAC